ACCTATGGAACAGCTGTCCTGCCCTACATAAGAGATACTACAGACAAAATCAGTAAGATACTACACAGGCATCACATCAAGACTGCCTTCAAAACAGACAGAAAAATAGCAGCCATCCTAAGATACCCCAAAGATAAAATTGACCTGGAAAACCAAGGCATATAGGAAGTCCCCTGTGCATCATGCCCTGCAACATACATTGGACAGACCAATAGAAGAATAAGTACCCGCCTGGATGAACACAAAAATGCAGTAAAAAAGCTGGAACACACTTCCTCACTAGTCCAACACATGAAAGCAACAGGTCATAGCATCGACTTCAATGGCACCAAAACCCTAGCCACTATAGAAAACCCCAGCCACAGAATCATCAGAGAAGCCATAGAGATTGAAAAAAGACCTGAAAGCATGAATAGAAGAGATGATTCCACCAGACAATTATTTGGAAGCCTGTACTCACAAACAAAAAAATATCCACCCCACAAGCCAGGCAAACACCTGGGCACAAACAGATCCCCCCTGATACCTCCAGCTCAAACACACCCCAACCAGGCACCCAGATGAAACCTAGCTTCCTAATAAATGATAGCTGTCCATTTACTCAGAGCCAAGCCATACTAAAAGCCTCCAATACAGCAAACACAATGTTGCCAGCCAATCAAGACAACAAAAGCTACAAAACAGACAGAAGATATTAGAAACACCAATCAAGCAGAACACAGCAAACTCCAAGACCAATAAACACAGACCAAGACTCCCAACCAATCAGGATGAAGAAAAAACCATTCTGGCACAGCAGTAGGCTAGCCCCAAATTTAAAACAGAAATGGCTGTGAAAGCATGACTCACAGACAAACACAATACAGAAGCCTGATGATAGCAGATGAGATTCTGCCGAAACGTTGCTACAATTTTAAAAGCACAACTATAATGATGTGGGAAAATACCCGAACAAAGCTGAATGCCATATATATATATATATATGCTGGTTGGCTGCGCTGCTGCCTCTTGATTGGTTGATGGGGTTGATGTTGGTATAATGGGCTGTGTGATGGCCTTGTGAGTTTTGTTGTGGAGATACCCTGGATCTTGTGCTGTAATCTCCTGGGTCATTTGTTTTGTAGTGATCTTTTTTCCCTTAGCCTCTCGTGTTTTACGGCTTGGGTAATGGGTTGTGTGATGGGCTTGCGAGTTCTTTTGTTATGGTATCCTGGGCCGTTTGTGTTTTGATCTCTTTTCCATTAGCCTCCTGTGTAGTAACGGCTTGGGTAATGGGTTGTGTGATGACCTTGTGAGACTTATTGCTGTGGTATCCTTGGTCTTGTGCTGTGATATTCTGGGTCATTTGCTGTGTTGCAACTTCTTGAGTTCTTGTGGTGTAATTTCCTGAGTTTTCTGATGTGATATCCTGAGCGGGTGGCTGTGATGTAGCATTCTGGGTTTTCGTCTGGCTTCGGGTTTGGGGTCTGCGTCTGTGTTCTTGGCGTCTGTCAGCTTGTTTGGTTTTGGGGTCGGGGGGTGCGACAGCTGGCGAGGCAGCCATGTCTGTTTTCTGGATGGTGGTTGTCCTTCATTTATAGGATGGGCCTGGGTCTGATGAGGGGGATTGGCGGTGGTGTCCCATATTGTTTCGGGTCTGGTGTTGGTTTTCATGGCTGGGACTCATTTGTTGGTGAGGGCTAGCTTCCAGATGTCTGGTAGGTGGGAGGTATCGTCCCGTCTATTCATGTTATGGGGGTGTTTCTCTATCTCGATGGCTTCCCTGATTATTCTCCTGCTGGAGTGTTCAGTGTTGGATATTAATTTGGTTCCTTCGAAATTAATTTCATGTCCTGTGGCTTTAAGGTGGTGGAAGAGGGAGGAAGTATTTTCTTCTCTTCTGACTGCATTTTTGTGTTCTGCGATGCGTGCATTTATTCTCCTGTTGGTTTGTCCAATGTATGTGGCTGGGCAATTGTTGCATGGTATTTCATAAACTCCTTGGTTTTCTAGCTGGATCTTGTCTTTGGGGTTTCTTAGGATGTTGGCTATTTTTTGGTCAGTGCCAAAGGCTGTCCTGATATTGTGTTTGTGGAGAATTTTGCTGATTTTGTCTGTGGTGCCTTCGATGTAGGGGAGGAGTGCAATACCGTTGTCTTGTTCTGTGTCTTGATTTTTTTGGGGGTATCTCTTTTCGGATTAGATTGGTGATAGTGTTTCTTTGGAATCCGTTGGAAATTAATACGTGAGGGTGTGTAGTTCTGTTCTCAGGTGGTCTTTGTCAGCTAGGCATTTGGTTCTGGAGATGAGGGTCTTGGCTACGGAGTTGATCTATGCAGGGTGGTGATGGGATTGTGCATTTAGGTAGCGGTTGGTGGTTTTTTTTTCTTCCAGTAGATGGTGTGTCCTAGGGAGCCATTGGGTTTTTTGTAAATTAGGACATCCAGGAAGGGAAGTTGGTTGTTGGTTTCTGTTTCCATGGTGAATTGTATTTTGGGGTATAGGTTGTTAAGATGTGTGAGGAAGTTGTCCAGTTTTTCTTTCCTGTGTGGCCAAATTACAAAAGTGTCATCTACATATCTGAGCCAGAGTTTGGGTTTGTGTTCAGATTTGTCTAGAGCATTGGTTTCAAAGTGTTCCATGTATAGGTCGGCGATGACGGGTGAGAGGGTGCTCCTTCTATCTGTTTGTATCTTTGTCCATTGTGCATGAAGTATGTGTTGGTTAGGCAGTGGTTGGTCAAATCTAGGATGTGTTTGGGGGGGTTGTATTTGTTTTGGATGGCTGTCAAGGCTTCTTTGATGGGTACTTGGGTGAAGAGGGATATGACATCGAAGCTCACGAGTAGGTCGCTGGGTTGTAGGTTTTGTTTCTTTATTGTTTCTATGAAGTGGAGGGAGTTTTGTACGTGTGAGGTGATGGATTCTGTGTAGGGCTGGAGTTTTTTGGCGAGAAATTTGGCAAGATTCTGTAGAGGTGAGCCTATGGAGCTGACTATGGGTCTGAGTGGTATTCCTTCTTTGTGTATCTTGGGGAGGCCATAGAGCTTAGGGCATCTGGATGATTTTTTTTCTGGGGATGATTCCCTGCTGGATCTCTTCGCTGATGGGAGACGCTTTTATTTTGGATTTGGTGATTTTTTTCTAGATAGGTGGTGGGGTCAATATTCAGAGGTTTGTAAGCGGGGTCTTGGAGTAGGTTGGATAGTTTGGAGTGGTAGTCCGATGTGTTCATTACGACTGTGGTGTTGCCTTTATCTGCTGGGAGAATGACTATGTTGGCTGCATCTGGGTTGATTTTGGTTAGGCTAGCTTCAACTCCGCATATAATGTTTTCAGTGGGGATGCGTTTGGTGGCGACTGCAAAGTTGAATCCTTTGGAAAGGACATTGGTTTCTGCTATGGTGAGGGTTCTGTCTGATATGTTGTGTACTGTTTGTTTCATGTGTTGTTTTGGGGAAGGGTTGGGTTTCTGGCCAACAAAATTAGACTTGAAATCATCAACGTCTGTTAAGCCTGGATTCCCCAATGGGTGTTAAGGAAAACAAACTAAACAGAACGTGCAGTGAAGTCAGATAGGAAGACAAGTAAATGTGTGAGATAAGTTTTCTAGTTAACACGCAGTAAAAATACAGATACGCTTGTGCTATCAAAAATATAGTTTATTCCATTTAAGAATTATAGCATAGTCAAAATAAACGGTCCATTAGTCATATATCAATTTCAGTCAAGTCGTCGGGGATACTCTATTTGCAAAGTCCGTGTTGAATAGCCAATGTCAGTTCACTTACAATAAATCAGTCCAATCTTTATCTTCTCTCCGTTGAGAAAAATCAACACTCCTTTTTCTCTCCCCGTTCCAGCAAGAACGCAGTCATCAATCCATCCAGTAATTAGGGATCAGTAAGCCAGAGAGAGAGAGCTGCTATTGCCTCGCTTCTTATATAGTGCTTTTACAACCACACCCTTAATTACATTCTTGCAGTTAAAGTTACACACACTTTAATTAACAAACCATGATACCTTATTTATTATTTTTACCCAAACCAGTTAGGGTATCCCTAACAACGTCCTCTGTTCCAGCAACCCACCCAGAAGCAACCTACACAGAGAAGAACAAAAAGCACTCACCAACCTGAGGAAAGACAGCAACATAGTCATTCTCCCAGCAGACAACGGCAACACCACAGTCGTAATGAACACATCAGACTACCACGCCAAACTACCCAACCTATTCCAAGACCCCGCTTACAAACCTCTGAATACTGACCCCACCACCTACCTAGAAAAAACCACCAAATCCAAAATAAAAGCGTCTCCCATCAGTTTTAAAGGCTTTAAACCTTGAATTGGTGCTGTAATCCTCAAAAGTACAGTGGAAACCAATGCAATTTGAGCTACAGTGGTTTTTGCACAGGTGAATTTTAAATGTGTGTGCCACCTTCTCAACAACAATCCCTAAAAAAGAAGGTTACATTCTCATTCACATTTGACTTGCATGGCTTTCAAGAAAATAAGGGGAACACTAGAGCCATCAACAACAGTATGCAAAAAATGGGCTGATGAAGTTCCATTTTTCCCCTGTAAGCTTTGCTAGAAACATTCTGAACTCTGTTCTGAATGCCCAGAAAAATATATTTGAAAGCATAGTTAACTAAAGAATCTTACCTGCAAGTAAATCACATTTTAAATATGATCCATACATCATATAACCTTTATTTCTGTTATTCGTTTGGATGTTTGTTTGTGTTAATATGAGAAAGTAGAATTTGTAATATGACCATGGAATCTGATCAATTTAAACGTACGTTTAAAAATGTTCTCTATTGAGCTTCAGGTTCAAATTGTTGTCAAATTAGAGATTATTTCAAAAATCAGACATTAACATTGTTCTTACAAATTAATTGCAATCCACCTTTTTTTTGTACCTCTAAAGACAATTTTAAACTTTCTCTCTATGTATCTTTTGCATCACAGCAACCATTTATCCCCAAAAAAGAAGCTTTGTTTGTTACCTCTTACCGACAGTTATTTTGACAGTTTTTTTCTGTGAGTCCATATTCATCTTCTCCCACAATATCCACAGCTGAAAATATTAGTGCAACCAGAATTGCAAAGCAGCAAACCAGTGCAAAAATCACGATGCATTTTTGCTGGGACTGAAAGACATTAAGGAGAAGAAACTGAGATCAGAATAGTCAAGTATGTTTCCAGATATACACTATATAGTTTAGTCAAAAAATATTTTTGCTTTGATCTAAAAATTGCTCAAATTTGTATCAGACATCAAAAAAGGCAAAGCATTGTCTTGGTCTTGACTATTTTTCCACAACCTTTTTTTTCTTTACTATACATCATGTATGCCATGATATGGACAAAATGCTTTAATCTTTTGTCAATTATCCTAACTTTAAAGAAAAATAGACTCAATAGTGCTCAATACAACCCGCCCCCCCAGACACTTTCAGGTTATTTGAAATAAACATAACAAATAATGCTAAGAAGAGCCGTAGGATGCACAAAGAATGGCTCTCATTCCATACTAAAATTCACACCTGCCTTGGAGGTATGGGCGATTATTGCCTTACAGCTTATCATTATTGAGAATTCCACCCACTCATGAGAACTTTGGTAAGAAAATGAGGGCTACCACCTAAAGAAATTTAAACTTTTTTTTAAGAAAGAGAGAAAAGTACTGATATTGTGCTGGATACTGTCATGCAACAGCTTCCATTTTTCTTTTACTCACCATTTACATTTCTAGAATAAATATATATCCTAAAACCTACTGAGGAAAGATCTGATATTCTATTTCATATCAAAACTAACAAATAGAGCATAGCTGCTGCATAGTAAACTATGCAATTTCTTCAAACAAGACCAATTCACTTTATTTTATAAGCACAAATTATACCAAATGGCAATGAAAAGCATTTTATTTTTTTTCCAACAGGAAATTAACATCTCAATCCATCTGAATCAAATTTTAGGCAAATATATGTACCACAAACATGCATGTTAGAATACACATCCAGAAGTTGGTCAGTCTGTCAGTTAAATAATAAATAAGTGGCCAATTAATCCAGACCAGCATCTCTTGCATCCACTGGGACAGACCTGAGTCAGTCCTTAAAAGAGTATTAGGATCCCTAGACTCAGCCTTAATTCCTTTCATCAGAATAATCCATCCAAAGAAATCCTGGGGAAGCAGTCTCAGCCGTTTCTCTCTCTCATAGCAGAGTCCATGAAATTCCAGACATGACTAACAATCAAATGAACTTGATAATGATGAATAGTGTCAGCACCACACTGTATGCCATCTAATCAGCCAGCAGGATGGAGAATGGTGCCATTCTTCGGCCACCCTTTGACTAAATGGCCAATGTCAAAAAAAAACAGGTTAAACTCAGCACTAGCCTCAGCAACACAAGAGATCCATTAAGTCCTGTAACTTAGAAAGCAACCTACCCTAGATGCTGGGCCAATTATAGCAATAGCCAAAGGCTACAAAAGAAAAACAAATATCTACACTCAGGATATGTCTAGATTATTTGGGGCAGCAGTGCCCAAACCCTGCAGTCTCCCCACAACGTCCAACAAAGATGCAGCTTGATCTCCAGCAAACAAACAACCGGAAAATCTCTCATGGGAACATGGCAAGTTCCACTGCAGCAATGAAAAACTGTCCCAAGAATCTCTCAGAGTTTGCAACCAATACCCTAAAAAATGCCAGATAACAAAACATAAATTGCAAAACAAACCAGCCAAAAGAATAAAAAAAAATCCTCCATAATTGAATATAACCTAAACAAAAACTCTCCCGTTCACTAAAACCAGGTGACCTCCATGATACCATCTTAAAAATTAAATATAGTGGTAGACACAACTGAAGTAATCTTATGTACTCTTCCTGAAATCTGATAAAAGGAATGAATTAGATAATATACAAGTAGGAGAGCCAGTTTAAAGATAGGTTCTAGCCTTTGACATAAAGCCAGCTGGGTGACCTTAGGTCAGTTATTCTCTCTCAGCCTTAGAAAGAAGGAAATGACAAATCATTTCCAAGAAAATATTTCCTAGAAACCTGCAGAATATTGCCTAGTCCAGGCAGTCACCAGGTATCACCAGCAACTTGAAGATGCATATATATATAGCAATAGCACTTAAGACTTCTAAGTCTTATACCACTTTACAGTACTTTACAGCCCTCTCTAAGTGTTTTACAGAGTCAGCATATTGCCCCCAATAATCTGGATCCTCATTTTACTCAACTTGGAAGGATGGAAGACTGAGTCAACCTTGACTCAGGTGAGATTCAAACTGTCAAATTGCAAACAACCAGCAGTCAGCAGAAGTAGCCTACAATACTGCACTCTAACCACTGCGCCACCACGGCTCTTATATATAAGTATATTGATAAATCTCTGGACAACTATCCCAGTGGTTTCATGTTCATGCAAATAACACTGGAGACAAAATGAAAAACCACAGATCCCCATGCTGAAATATGTTCTTTGGGATTTAGATTTAAATTTTAAAAATCAGCTTAGCGGGCTTCCTTTCTTTTGTTCAACCATGAGTCAATTACTTGTTCTTCCAGCTCTTAATGATAATTTCTATTTTAAATATAAATTCTTCATCCCACATAACTCACCAATTCTAGTGAGTTTCTCTAAGATATATACTTAAAATGATTAGAACCCTTAACCATATTTATGCAGATATTTGAAAATATACAATACTAATGCAGCCTTCCCCCATCTGCTATGCTCTTGTAGTATTAGGCTTGCCAGCTGGAAACAGAGAAATTGCAATCCTAACAGATCAGGAAAGATCTAGTTTGGAGGAGGTTGGCCTGATGTATTTATTTTGATAGCATGACAGAAGACATAATAAATTATACTGCAAATGAACTTGGGTTGTTTTTCAAATGCACACCACACATTTTCCCCTCTATAGCTAAGTGTTATCTGTAGAGAAAACTGCCATCTGTGTACTGAAATATATGTTTCTTTCTTTCAACCTCAATTCTCTAAAGCTATCTAGGTCTTATTCAAAGCAGAAATGGAAAGACTGAACACTGCTTTTGGGAATCAGTCAGTGAATTGAAATGAACTAGAATGTGCTACTTCACATCAGAAGAGCAGATCTTCTACTGTGAACAAAAAAAAACATAGAAGAATAGAGTAGTAATCATTATTAACAAAAGGATGTTAAAATTAATACTCAAATATTAGACCCCAAAATGAAAGAATGATGTCAATTCAAGCCCAAGGCAACTTAGTGATGCAAGACAATGTCCCAGCCATAGATATGAAGCAAACAGAAGATGAACTAATCTATGCTAATTTGCAGCACTATGTCAACACAACACTAGAAAGAAAAAAGACAACACGCTAATTATAGCAGACTGGGATGCTTAATCTGAAAGGAAAACACCATCTGAAATAAAGCAGGTGACAAACAAATGGTTCTGCCAATTAAATTAAATTTTTATAACAGCTTAAAACAACTACTTTCTAACAACTTCTTCATATGACTATCACTAGACAATACACTCTATATGCAAAAATGGAGAAGTTCTGTTCAGTCAGCAAGAGCCAAGTTAGATGTTGTCTGTGGGTTAGACCATTCATTTCTTGCAAAATTCAAACTAAAGAAAAGAAATAAGGTCACCAGATTCACAAGAAACAATATCAGCAATGTTTCCTTCGATTATGCAGTGAAGATAAAGAATGAATTTAATGGCTTAGATTTGATAAATTGAGTGCTTAAAAATCTCTGGACTGAAATTTATAACATTAACAAACATATAAAAAAGGACTGCATAGGCTACAACAACAAATTGTGAATCACTCTTAAAAACAAGTGTACTGGACCAATTGAACAATTTGTATAATAATCAGGAAACTTCTTACAACAATGGAGCAGTTAAATCAGAATCAGAAAAGTACTAAAGTTGTACATGATGACCTTATTTTTTAAACTTATATGCAGAATATGTAATGAAAAATGTTGGTTAGAAAAAATAAAATGTGTAATTAAAATTTCTGGAGGAAATATCAAGTACCTTAAAAAGCTGTTTACACCACTATGCCGGCTGGAAGTTATGAAGAACAGTGCAAAAGCTGGTCTGCTGCTCAATGTTTTTTTTTTAAAAAAATACTAAAAAAATAAAATTATGCCAACAATGGATATAAGCAGAGAAGAAGCTGATGCTTATCTTCCTAGGCTCAAAAATTCACAGGGATGGTGATGGTGTGGCCATGAAACGAAAAGACATCTGCTACTTGTGAGAAAGATGACATATCTAGACAAAATATTCAAGTGCAGAGACATCACACTGACAATAACAGCATGAATTGTAAAAACTATATTTTTCCCAATTGGAACATATGGCTGTGAAAACTGTACCATCAGAGAGGCCAAGAGAAGATAAATTAATGCCTTTGATTTATGGTGCTAGAGAAATATGGTTGAGAATACCTTGAACCACAGGAAGCAAAATGTTACAATTCTAACACAACACAAAACTGGCTTGCTTGCAAGAAGCACTAATAAGGATACTGATGTTTAAACATTTTAGAACTATAATGCAAAAGCAAAAGACTCAAGAGAAAACCCCAATGCTTTTGGGGGGGGGAATCAAAGGAAGTTGATGGAAGACAAGGTTGCTAGATCCTATCACTGATGACACAAACATGAATTACAAGAAGGAAACAGTTATTGGCAGACAATCCTTGTGAAATGATATCCATCAGGTTGCAAAGGCTGAAAAGCAACTGAATGAGTAACATATCATATGAGAGTTTAAACAGCCACATTTACCTCTGTGTTCTCTAACTTCACTGATCCATAATAATTACAGCTGATTGTGCCTAATTTAATATCAGTAATTGCCTGCCATTTAATGTTATGTAGTTATAGTAAGTTATTTAATCCTAACCTGTTGAATAGTTCTAACAAATGTATACTACTACTGAATGTACTACTGAACATTCATATAAAGTCATTAAAAGCTTGGGTAAGGGACCTGAATCTGAAGTATATTGATAGTAAATTTCAGTAAGGAATTATGTGGGGTCTTCGGTGCTCTCTAAGCTTGGTTGCTTTCTTCAGATACTACTTTACCAAACTAGGTAACATGAACGGTACTAGG